CATGCGTACGTCCGTCCATGCGTGCGTGCATGTGGATTTATGTATATATGATTCTATTATAGGTAGCATTTGTTACGTATGCGTGCAATGTGTTTGCGTTAAATAGCAAATGTGTTTTATAAATAAAATTCAAAAGAGAACTAGTTATTTTAGTAGATATACGTAATATAATTTTTTAAATGTTGTGCATAATAAATTGAATAATATATTCTTTCCAACATTCTGTAGTACTTGGAGTTTGCGGCATGTTTGCACTCGTTATAGTGCAATTTTCGTTAAATATGGCTGATGTTGATCTATCGACGAATAACTCTCGATCATATCAATTTCTGTTTACGATGGAGTATTTCATCGATCCAGAAAAGTATTTTTATTTTATTCTGTTGCATATCAACGCAGCTATGTGCATTGCAGTGATTGTAGAAATAGCCGTTGGTTCAATGATGATTGCATATATTCATCATATCTGTGGAATGTTTAGAATTGCTAGGTACGATTACATGACGTTAATAAATATGGAATGTAATTCTCTAGAAGTATATATCTCTAAATAACATATTAAAATCAGTGTAACAGTGATTTTAATAAAAAAATTGCGTCATTCAATACTAGGTAATATAATTACGATGTAAATATTTGCAGTTATCGTATCGAGAATGCAATAAATATCAACATTCTACAAACTATTACACTGAAAAATAAAATTTTGATGATTGAGAGCATAATTTGTGCCGTCGACATTCACCGGCAAGCTATGAAGTCTGTATCTGCGATGATAATATTCATTCAATATTCATAATAATATCGTTTTGTTTTTGAAGATTGAACAGGCACTTTGTATCAACATTAGAGATAATGCTATTTTGTTTAATAATATGTTGTGTGATTACTTTGAGCCTAAACTTGTTTCAAGTAAGTTGCCTATACCGTGTAATTGTAATAATGTATAAAAGCTACTCCAAAATTATTAGTAATATTTAGTGAATGACAAAAATCAACAAGGTAGATATGCCATAATTATAATTATGGCATGTATAAAGGAGTATGTTAAAATGTAGCTATAACTTTTGCTTTCAAGACGGCATGTAAAATTTGCATGTTTTCTTATATTTTTTTGGCCGTAGAATCACGTAGTGACATCTGTTTGCTGTCAAAGTGCGTGGCAAATTAAAAAAATGGGCTATTTATATTTATGTTTTCCTATTTTTCATTGTTTTCTTGTTTCTTAGAGTTTTTTGATTGTAGAGTCGCGTGGTGGAATTCAATTGCCGTTAAAATGTAACAACCTTAAAAATTGCAATCAAATATGATATTATTTAGGTGTGTCATTTGGTGACAGAGAGACATTGTTGTTTTCACATAATATATATCGATATAAAAAGAAGACAATAAAAAATGGGGGTTAGAAGCTGTATAAAACATTAGAACATTAATAACAAAATTAAATTTTCTTTGTTTTTGCTCTCTTGTGTAATTCTGTTATTAATGTTCCAATGTTTTATGTTCTGTTTAAGACAGTTAGTTCGTAAATCGCAATTCATAAGAAAAATTTGAAAATTTTACTATGTATGTTAAAATAAATGTGGTATCTACACGTCTGTACAAATTAAAAGTAACTGACTGTCCCGAACGCAAGATAATTGCTATCAAAAATTGCATTTTTTCTATGTATTGCATGCACAAAGTATACGAAAATCTCGTATTTTGAATTATAATAAATAATTATAACGAATCTTAAGAAAGTGATAAAAAACGGATACACCTAATAGTAGAAGGATTCTTTATGAATACTAGTGAAAAAAACCGAAATTATTGACCGTTTAGATTTAGAATTACAATAATAAATAGATCTCGATTTATGCGATTATTTGACGTAAAGAAGCGACTGGAGGAAAAAAATAAAAGAATATTCTTTTGTTTTGTGTGTGAGGGATAGAACTATCCAAAAGTTTTCAGCCTGTAACCGCAAATATTCAGATGTTTTTACGTCAATTTATAAAGTATAAAATTTTGGATTGTATTGTCACGGACTAACTACCTTAAAGTGTATATGTTAAATTTAATACAGAAGTGTATATGTTTAATTGTATACAGATTAATAGTTCTCCTTAATGTTTTCGAAAAAATTCCGGGAACTTTTGTGTCATTCTGTACATATGACGAATGCAATTTTCTGAATACTAAATAACGTGAGAAAAAAGTAATAAATAGAATATGCACTCTATCGTAGAAAACCACAGAAATGTTGCAAGTACAATATTATAATTATGCAAGTTCGTAAAATTTTTATTGACTAACTTAATGAGCTCTAATGCTCATAGACGTAATCGTGAAACAACTTTTACAATTATGTTAAAGTAGAACATATTCTCATTCGTGTACAATCAGTGTTTCAGAGCAATATCTCTTATCTATATGAATCACATGTAATCTTTGCGCTAAGAATGAAGAAAACTTATTGTGTAGTTGATGGACATCTATTGTATATTAGAGTTTACTAATTCCGATAAAATTAATTTTTTTTATTTTTTCAGATAGCATCATTTGTAGGTAATATGGAAAAAGTTTTAATGCCATTTTTATGTTCGTTAGTAGCGATCTTACATATGTTTTTATCTAATCTAATGGGACAAATTGTAATTGACTACAATAATCACATATTCACTACTGCGTAAGAAATATTTATATGATAGAGAACATATACAGATTCTTTTTTCAGTGGTAACATTGTGACTTGATGCAGAAGGAACTAGTTTTTAGCAATAAATTAAAAAAAAGTTTTTGTTTTAAGTTAAAAAATAAAGTTTATTTTTTTAGGTACAATGTTCAGTGGTATAAAACTCCTTTACATATACAGAGAATGATATTATTCTTGTTGCAAAGAGGAACTAAGGAATTTAAAATAAATTTCGGTAGACTATTTGATGGATCAATGATGAATTTCGCTACGGTAATATAATGTATAATTTATCGACAGTATTATATTACACATAGAGACTGAATAAAAGAGAATGCTTATAATTACAGCTACTAAAGGCCTCATTATCTTATTTCACTGTTATACATTCTACACGGTCATGAAACATATACGAATTTAGTAACGCGATGGTATAACATAGTTAATAGATGAATTTACGCTCAAAGAATAAATAGATATATCTTTGAACATGTAGCGTAGATAAATATTTCTCTGCTAAAAGAGGAGATCAAATTAAATAGTATTAGTACTTCAAGTTTTCTCAGTCGAAATTAATCATTGTACTAGCTTACAGTTCCCATACAGACAGTGTATGCTTAAATATTTTCCTTTGCATTTACGTAAGATTTTCGTCACACAATCTGTTACTAATTCATTACATGTTATTCTTAATTGATTTATTTGTTAATAACATTCACATAAATGTTTGAGTGTACCGTTTTGTTAATAAATAACATATATTAATAAAATACATGTTTAGAAAATAAAAAAATTAAAAGAAAAGAATTTTTTTTACCAGTAACAAATGTTATAATTGTAGACAACTAGATAGTTTTAACACTTTAATATTAAATATTTATTAAAAATATTAATCGTGCCAAAAAAGGAAAGGGCGTTGTTTCCACTTTTCGCGGAAATGTAGAAAAATATAATTGTGTCGCTAAGCATTACACGATTGTGGTAAGGCAATGTTTATTGATTTTTGTATATAATCATATTTTCAATTTAATATCCAATCAGCTGTCAAGTGGAGAAAAATCGATTTTAGCATATTATAGTATTGGGTTGGCCAATAAGTCCGTGCGGTTTTTTATAAGTAAAATTTATAAGTAAAAAACCGCACGCGCGGACTTATTGGCCAACCCTATACTTTTATACATACTTATACCGTGCGTATAAGTACTAGAAGTTCCGGAATGGCCAATCATCTCAGAAGTATTGGTTTATTGGAAAAATTTCAGAAAAAAGTTAAAGGGTTCAAAGCGGACCAATAGATATTATATGTCTTATTATATGAGTTTATTAAAACACTTATCACATGTACGCATTTGCGATAAATGGTGTTTAATAATTGAATAAAGTAGAAAAATAGTTATTAATTTTATAGTAAAATTTTATTTTAATAGAATTAATTTATAATATGTGCATACGGCATACATAAGCCGATTTTATATACTAAGAATTTAAATTACATATTCTCTTTATTGGTTCTTAGAAGTTGGAATTTGCGCAATATTTACTGTCGTTATAGTTCAAATTTGGTCAAATATAATATAAGAAATACGCCTGCGCGTGGATTTCTTGCAAGGCTCAATTTTACGAGAAAAATACATTTGTCGAGTTGTCTTTAATTGTCGGTAAATCTATATCTGCAGTTTTTTTGTTGAGATTGATTTAATTAGGGGCATTTTGATTTTCTGGCAAACTTTTACACAATCAACATTATAAATTATGAAATTTGCATTATTGCATTAAAATTATATCTGAAGGAATAAGATATAGAGTATTCAATCCATCAGTAAAAAAAAGAGTGGGACGCACTCTCATCGATGTCCTCAATTTTCGCAATAATACTTAGAAGCTCGCAATGATACATCTAGAAGCTCGATATTGTAGCAACCAATAGAAGTCTCAGTAGACTTTTATTTCTTGGTACATTGGTTTATGGTCCTATCTGCAATCTAAATTTATTCGATTTCAGTTTATTTTCCTCTCTGCTATTATGTCAGCAGGTATATGTATTTCAAGTAAAAAGGAATATAGTACGTTATTATAAATCAATTTCTGCATGACAATTTTTCACTGACAAATAATTTATTTTAATCTATATTACGCAATTTGATCTATTATTCTATATTATAAGACCTGCGAATCAGCGCGCGTTCGGGCGATTTGACCGGCGCGGCGCGGTGCGCAGCAACTGTAAACGCTGGGCTATCTTCTCACTATATAGACATGTACAGTATATTATCTAGACCGAGCGTTTGCCTTAATTTGAAGAGTGAGGGTAGGATGCATGTAGAAAAGGACAAATGATGACGAACGTATCTCCTTCTCTCTCATATGTGCCTGCGTAATAAGATAAGGCACGTCTATTCAAAGCAGTGTGTGTTTATGTTGTACGCACACAGAGTTGGGACTATTTCCCATCTTCTCTCATTTGAAAGAGACGAGGAGGTGTACCTTATATTCCCTCTCGTTCTACGTTGGTACCAAGTGGTGGGAATTAACGCTCCGTCTGTGCTTGTAACCGAATCGCGCGAACGCACGCTGATTCGCAGGTCTTTATTAATCAAGTTTTCATTATTTATTGCCATAATCGCAAAACGGTAAAGAATTTTTCTATTCGGTTAAACCCACTACCTACTCGGCGAATGTTCTATCTATTATCAGAGACCTTATACATATAGGTTGTCTGTATATTCCGGTATTTTGAAATCAGACATTTGCATTAGCTGTAATTTAAATACAAATAGTGTATAGGTACATCTTTAAATATTTTTCATTGCTTTTAAATAATAATTTTCTTACACGCAATTTGTTATCCAACGCATCAAACATTATTTTTACATAATTTTTTTGGGTAAAAGTTTACAATAACTTACACAGCTCGGATTACTTTGACCTTG